TTTAGGTATCTACAGCTTAAACTGCACGCGCTACATCGCTTGCGCGCGAGACACCCCTGAAGGTATACTGTAACCTTAAGGTAGTGCTTTACGTCAGCCTTATTACCTTCTCTGGGCTTTTTTGCCCCTAAGATACATTGGTGTATTGTTTTTTATTTATAAATGACAAAAAGAGAACAAGACCAAGATGTAAATGCTCGGCAGACACGATCACAAATTATATTCAGACAGATAGTACGTGGAAGAGCAAAGTTTGGAAACCAGCTGTGTCAATTATTGATTACTGAGGAGATAAAAATCTCACATTTCGCGCTCAAAGCTCTGGGATATCCTGCGGGATATTTAGAGAAACACAACGAGAACTTTAACTAAAATAAATACTGCTGTTTCCCACTTTTCTAGCGTTCAATTTTGTGACACCTTAGATCTCTTAACACACTCAACAAACAGCTGACTTACTTTTCGATTGAAATTTTACGGATAGTCAAAGAAATATCACTTTCCGTCTGTAAACAAGCTAAATAGCACAAAATGGAACAACCTTTGTTGGAGATGCGGATAACTCAACGCAATACTTATGTTTTGTCAAACTGTTACAGTTTTACTTATGAAGGTAAGCTTGGATCTCTTTTAGACACTTTCCTCACGATTGAGTAAGAAAAGGATGCTTGCAATTTGATGACAAGGATTATTTTGACAATGATTATTTATCAAGATGAGTTATTNTGCAGTTGAAGACTCCGTCACGTTCATTGTTAAATTTGTTCTCCATCGACACTTTTAAGTTTTGAACGTTCAATCTTAGATACATTTGATATAAAACGAAGGAAAACTGTGTATGAAAACAGACATACATACATATATACTTTATTCGTTATGTAGATCACATGATATCATGTTAAACGCAACTGCTGCCAAAATGAGCGACAGAGGTGGCTGTTCAAAATCCTCTCTTTGGCGTGACAAAGTATACACTTTTTTTTTTGACATAAAAGTTGGTTTACCAAAATTTGACAAAGTTTCATCTTTGCATTCGATGTATTTGTCGGTGCATGCTGGGTGTTGCTTTTGGCTGCCTTTTTCGTAGTATTTGTTGAATTTTATCAGACCTCTTTTCCACCATTATCTCACTAAGTTTTTTTCCCGCTTTCTCAGCCGCTCCTTTCGCGGCTTTTTTCACCACCTTTGTCGCGCCTTTTTAAACGCTTTTCCGATCGCCATAAGGGTGTCTCGGACCACCCCCGACCCTTTAATTTGGGTTTATATTCAATATGTGGTAACACGCAGGCTTTATACAGAGAGATCATAACGTCAGATGGAACTAAGCGTTTAATCCTGCGTAAAGCAGCTATCGTAGCTATCATAGCTGAAGGGGAAAGTTGCCCTGCTATATTGTCAATGTGTCACACACAGAATTAAGCAGTCTTTGTTGGACATGTGGGTTTCTCATTACGTAATTCATTTTGGAAAAAAGGTGGGACGTTAACCCGTGAGGTATTCTCTTCTGATTATTTCTCCGCAAGACGTAGAAAAAATATGTTTTCTTTCTGATTATAATGATTCTTTTGTCGTCAAGAGGAATTATTCTGGTTTGTAAATTGATATATTAATAAACATCCTGTCTAATTTGCATTTGAAACCAAAGTGAGCATTATCAAAACAAAATAGCGTCATTGAAATGGTCCGGACGCCAACTTAAACGAATTCCCCTTCCTCAAATCAACCTTGCCGTCGCCGATCTATTTGTAGGAGTAGGTGATCCACAGAATTTCGAGAACTGAATAATGTGGGTACTGAATAAACAAGACGAAGGACTTTTTAGAAAGTCTAGCATTCTGTTGGCTTTGTTTTTCTCCGACGTTGCCTTGGTTTGTTAATGCTCTACACTTAGCAAATGCTCTTGTGAATCCATTCGTGTACAGCTTTAGGATGAAAGTATTTTAAGATGCCTTGAAAAATTGCTTGAAAAAGCGCTGGGAAAAATCTCAACTAATACGTGTTTCCCTTCGAGGGCAAAACGAACCCCAAAATTTTACTATCCATTTGCAAATTGAAAAACTTGGCTAACCCCAGTACAGAACTTTGTTGAACATTTTGCCTTTGAACATTTCTATTATTTTCTTTTCTTCCCTAAACTATTTTTAAACGTCAATTTTGGCAGAAAATGTGATACTGGTTCGTGAAATTTACTCTTCGTTGCCTTGAATTGAATTTTCGACACCTGAATACTATACTGAAGTCTTCTTCTGTGTACATGGATTGAAAAGCTGAAACGTCGATCAGAAGTGAGCCGGGTGTAATTAGTTGGTGTATTGATTCAACAGATTAAGCTTATTTCACAACGAAATCAATTTTAATAGAAATTAAGGTTAGTTTAGAAACTTTTTGGAACTCTAATGAACCTTTTAATTCTGCTGATTTTATACTTTGCCAAAAGAAACACCATAATTGGAGAAAAGAAAAACGGCGGATTGAAAATGTGTGATTTTAAGATCATGGAAAAAGCGCTTAAAATAACTTGGGTCAACAG